AAAAACATCACATAGCGTGTAGTTGAATCCCTTAGTATTAGAACTAGTCCGCTTTAGTTAAATATGGGTCAATCAAAGCCAATTGAAAGATCTGCTAACGTGGAGATCTGAAAGTTATGAAACAAGTTTTTAAAAATTAAATTAAATTAAAAAATATATATGTATACATATTTTTCCTTTTAAAAGAAAAAACTAGTAAAAAAAGAAATTAAAAGGAGAAGAAAATTACATCAAAAAAGAAGAAAATGGTATTTTAAAATTAAACGAAATTAAAAAAAAAAATATTTTAATACGAAAACTAAAAATTAAAGGAAAACTAAATTTGAAAAGAAAGTAGTCCCTAAAAATTAAACGAAATTAAAAAACATAAAAATATTTTAATTTCAAAACGAAATATAAAAATTAAATTTAAAAAGAATATAGTCATTAAAAATTAAATGAAATTAAAAAATTTTATTTTTAAAACGAACGAAACGAACGAAATTTAGTTAAAAATACAACAAAAGTCCAATGAGATCCTAAAAGTTAGATCTAAAAAAAAAACATATTTTTTCATTTTAAAACAATGTAATCTATTTGAAACCAAAACTTAGAATAACATTGACAAAATAAAGCACATTTAATTAAAAGAATACTTTGATTAAAATTTAAGTTTTTATTCAATAAGCTTCTAAAAATTATACGAAATTAATTAATTAATGTATATTTTTTCTTTTTAAAACAACGAAAGCTAATAGCTAAAAGGAAATCAAATTTAAAAAAATATGTCCGTCTGTGCACACGATAACTCGAGTAAAAATTGAAATGTCTTAACAAAACTTCGTATGTGTACTTCTTTCGGGCGTAGGACGGATGATATTGAAAATGGGCAAAATCGGACAACAACCACGCCTACCTCCCATATAACGGCAGTTTTCAGAAATATGAAAACTGCGGTATTTGAGTAACTACTGAGGCTTATTCACTACAAATTTATATTTACAATGATTTTTAGACGAAAAATAAGAATATTATACATTTTTGGAAAATGGGCGTAGCCACGCCCACTTATGATTACATGTGTATATCTTGGTAACCGTTCCACCAATTTCTTCCAAACTTGGCATAGTTGTTGGCCTTGGTACAACATATCAAAGGACTGAAAATTTAAAAAATCGAACAATAACCACGAAATTTCGAAATTTAAAGACGCGAATTTACTCAAAATTGTTGCCAACAACAATCCCTTGAAAAGAAGTAATATTATTTTGAAATTTTTGAAAATTGCCATGATATCGGCCACATATTTATAACTATATAAGTTTATCTCATTATGTCTAACTGAACATTCCATCGAACGTGTTTGAAATAGGGGTAAAATCACCCCTACTTACCACGTCGCGATAGCTTTCGGAAGATGAAAAAACTATATTGAATACTTACGCCGGGCATTTAATACTCGACTCCGCCCAAACATAGACATTTATACTTGGTTTTATAAGAACTTTGTACTACATAGAATAACTATCTTGTTATCTGTCTTTAATTTATACGACGGTGTGCGTAACAATGCGCAAGCCGCGAATATCAAGTTGGCCTGTAAGGCACTAGCTCGACAATGATACGCTCACTCAGTTAAAACATACTTTTTATTGACAATGAATATGCACCATATTTTTCCCAAACATAACTGAAATATTATTCTGTTGGGTACTATCATCGGGAATACTTTTTTTGGTCACTGCACGCACTTAACTTATGTATGTATGTATACCACGTACTCAACACAGCAAATAATTAAATTCGAAACCGCAAATATGAATAAATTAATATGAGAAACCGCATTAATTTTAAATGTAAATGAGTACTCAAACAAACAAGCGTTCACACGTCTGCATGAAACTTTATATGTATGTATGTATGCACATAAATTAAAAAAAAAGTGCATGCGCAGGAGACGAGGGATATAGGGATTAATGACATGCAAGCCACCACTTTTTAGTGATTTAAAATTTTAAAGTCTGGTTATTTAAAATACTTGCATATGTTCCAACTGACAGAATCATTAAATAGCAATGCATTAGTTTAAAAATGTAGTACAAGTGTTTATTAAATACAAAAAAAAAAAAACAATTTTTTTCCGACATTATTTTTATCAGTTGAATTATTACGGCGGGTGCAACGTAAAACTATTTCCAAAACGTTATATAAACGATTATAACTTTAGAATACAGGATGATTTAATAAAACCACACAAAAAAAAATTTCCGAAATTATTTTTTTTTTATTTCATCACGTTTTTGGCTATAGTTTATGTATGTACGTCCAAATTGTATACAATTTTTTTTTTTTGGAATGTGTCATTTTTCGACACTTCAACAGTTTTTTTTTCTCAAAAACTGGACGGGCTAGAAAAATGTTGTAAATGAACTTCAAATTAGTATCAAAAAATCTATAAGATGCGGTCGGCCCCGTACTTGAGATAAATTACGACAAATTTTGTTGAACCGTGTAATTGTTGCCAAATATCTGAGCTAATTTTCGTCAAGTGTTTGGCCGAGATCTTCCTTCAATTTGTGGTTTGCAGCTTGATGTTGTCTTTCAAATGGTCCCTCCACAATTTTACGACAGCTTATAGCGGCAAACAATTTTTATAAAAATGAAATCTCTTTTCATGGAGGGAATACCTTCAGAAATACTTGCGAGAAATATTTTTCTTTAATATATATATATATATATATTTTTTTAATTTTACGTCGAACAGAAAAAATTGTTTATTTAGTTTTTATAAAGTGTTGATAATATAATTATAAAAAACATTTTAGCTTTCTTTGGTTATTCCCCTTTCGATTATTTAATGTTTATTCCTTTTTATGAAAGTGTGGTTCGTTATCTAACAAGGACGATGTAAGTCAGAATTTGAAACATTGTACAAAAATTAGCAAAATTCGACAAAGTTTCATTAAAATTTTGAGCTTTTTAATTAGATTTCTTTGAAAAATTTTTTAACGAACATTCTGTGCATGGAAGAAAATGCGCGAACAAAAAATTGCTAAAAATCAACGGTAAGTCAAAGTTTCTTCCAATGTGCACTTTATTATACCAAAATTAAATGAGCTACAAAACTTCATACTCATGACAATTCTCGAAAATATGATCAAAATATTTCACATTGTGCAAATAATATACATTTTTCAATATTTTAATCTCTTTGTTTTGTTTTAAATAAAACTGTATGAAGCATTTTATTCTAAAACCAAAATTTAATGTTCGGATTCGATTCCCAATTTTTGGCCACAGAAATCTGGTCACCGTACTCATACGCCCCATCGACTGCACACATAACTTAGCTCATTCACTGCATCATTTACCAGCAACATCAAAGCCAAAGAACTGCTTCTTTACTTTGCTAAAAGAGCAAACACAACAACTCATCTTTCATATTGACGCGTACCTTCAATATACATATTAATATTCATTTCTTTACTAAGCTGTCTTTGAATAGCAGCTTCAACTGTGTACATATCTCCGTCTTACTTTTATCATAGCTTCACTTTTCTATTATGCTTTAGTTTATAAATTACTTATGATTAGTTTGAATAATCAAAAGCGGCGATATGTATTTACGTTAGTATATATCGTCACCTGAAATGCAAAAAGTCGAGACTAATACAAAATTCAAAATTAAGTTTTTGATTGATATGATGGATTTCATTGAATTACAACTCCCACATCATTCAATGAAAAAAATAATGTGTAATATTTGTTGCGAAATTCCAAATAGCTTTTTTTTAATCAACAATTGAAGATTTTTGCAGATATGAAGCTATTTCAAAACCATTTTGATTGATACCCCATATTGTTATAATTCATTGAAATGATTGAATGGCTTGAATTTTTCTTCTTAAACCGTTAGTATGATTTGAATTTTCAAACATGTGGAAACCCTGCTATACATACATATGTTGCTTAGAAATAAAGCCTCAGAAAATTACCTTAAATACCTCAGAAAATTATAAATGTTCGACTTTAAAAACAGGTGGCAGCCCTCTTCCAAATATTTTCCGACTAAAACCCTATTAAAACTCTTTCGTCTGACATCCATATTGTGATACATATTCAAATTACCAAATTCTCTTAATTAAAGAAGAATTTGATTTTTCAAACAGATGGCAACCCTCCTACATGGCGTTAAGAACTAAAACTCTTATCAAAAATCGTTCGATTGATACGCATGTTGTAGTAATTCATGCAAATTAATTGAATTTATTGATTTAGATGAGCTTATTTGGCCTAAGTTGTGATTAGTGCAAGTAAAACAATCAATTTTTGTGAGTGACAGATGGTGTTCTTCTTCTTCTTCCTTTTTGTATGTCGAATTCATAAAATGCCTAATTTCGCTGCCGTTATTAAAAAAAAAAAATCTTGAAGAATATGTATAACGTAGATAAAAAAAAAATTATGTCGTATCGTGTGGCAATGTTGTTTTTAACGCATTTCGACGGTAAAAACATGTCTGCTGGTAAGACACTAGCAATGAAAATAATCTAATTTGAAAACGCATTGATGAAAGTCTTTGAAAAGAAATCCAAAACAGCGGAAATATTTTATTAAAATTTAAACAGTCTTGCGTCTGTGATGTAAAAAGAAAAAAAAAAAACCTAAGTAGATGCCTGTCAACCAAATGACAGCAACATGACATTAAGCGCGACATGCTTATCAATCACACCGACATTTTATATCTTTAGGGAGTAAAGCGAAACAGAAAAGAACTCCCATAGAATAAAAGGCACTCAGCATGAGCGTCAGTCTGAAAAAATAAAATAATGAAAAAGGGCATGCAAATATAAAAATAAATAAAATAGGCTGGGAGCAGCAGAAAGCGCTTTTTTTCAACTAACTATCTTTTACATACCAAAATACCGCAAGCGAATTCTATGCTTTAATTTTTTTCATAAATAAATAGCTAGTTATTTATTTAAAAATAATTTTTACTTTCCTCTTCTCTTATTTTGTTACAGCTGACACAAAAGCAGCTAATTTAGAATAGTAAATAGCAGCAGCCGAAATAAGTAAAGCGCATACCACTACCGGCGTGTATTCTCTCCCACTCATTCACAGCACAGCACAGCACAGCGTAACACAGTGCCAACACATTGCCACATCGGTACAAGCACCAATTCACATTCACTTCACTGAGCAGGATGCGACATTGTCATTTAGTTGCACTGTCGATTGGTGTGTGTGTGGCAGCAATGACGCTGTTGCCCGCCACCGTGTGCGCCACCACAGAGGTACAGGAGACGCCACTGGCGTTGCCCGTCGCCGATCAGACACAACCGACCACGGCATCACAAGGCGAAATATGGGAGGAAGATGATCATGAGATTTTGATACGCAATGAGCGTGGCACAAAGAGCGATGGTAAGTAGATGATCATCAAACTGAATTATTTGTGTACATACGTATATAACTGAAGGTATACAAAATTATTTTAAAAATCGAAATATCTGAATATGGGTTTGTTGAAATTTTAGCACAGATATATGGCAATGTTAGTCCGTATTTGAACCGCAGTTGATCCAATCGAACTTGTTCCCAAAGAGATGGCAGTATTTCAGATTTATCTGTATCCTTGCAATAGGCCCAAACACACCCTGCAGGGAAACCGTGGGCTAGTGAATCAAATTTCTAGTTCCGTACTAGGTCTTTATTGCCAAAAAGGAACTAGTCCGATAGGAACTAGATCCTCACCAGTCCAAAATCGGCGAAAAGTGGTACTTTTAAGAAACTAATTTTTTCAGTTTTTTTCACTACAAATCTATATCTACAGTGACGAATTTAGAAATGGTTCGGAACTATAGAAAAAGGGATGCAGAACGAACTAGATCCTATTTGTCGAATTTAGAACTATTTCGGAACTATCGAATAAGGGATGCAGCGGGGGGCTTGTTTACTCTACATAGATACGTGTTCGGCGGCTTTTTCGTTCAAATACGTTTCTATGCTGTACTTCGCAGATGCTATTTCATAGTTTGGTAATAGAAAACAAAGCTTTGTGTTAGCATATTAACATCTTGGGGCCGTCTGGAATCTAACCAATAACAGCGAGCACCTCTGCAAAGTCAGCTACAGTAAGGTATGTAAATGTACATTTCTTACAATCATTCAAACAAATTTAATTTCAAATTGAAAAAACGTTTCTTTGAAAATAATGTAAAATCGCACACGGAAGAACCGAAAAGATTGAAAAATCATGATACTTTTTTCTTTCGTCAGTCGATTTTAGAACTGGTTCGGTACTATAGAATTTAGGACTAGTTCGGAACTATCGAAAAAGGGATGCAGCGGGGGGCAATTGACACTTCCTAGGACATCGCCATGTTAAATTCGCCAGTTGCTTGCATGCAAAAGAGATTTATCGCGAACCAGTACTGGGTCTAAATGTACTAGAAGCGCCCCAGTTCAGAACTAGAGATTTTCCCCACAGGGCAATTACGGAAGTGCTTAGAAAGGAAACAGTAAATAGGAGAGAACAATACTTGCATAGTAAAATAGGGTATCGGCTGGCTGAAAGCTTACTAGACAACAGCTCCTAATTGACCTCCCCAAACAAAAATTTAAAATCATTACGGGCATCGTCGCGGGGCACTGCAGGCTAAGAGGACACTTATAGGCGAGATTGCTAGATTTGCAAGTGATTACCCTAACTTTCGTTTTCAAATTATAACTTGGTTATTGCACGCTACAAACAAAAACAGAAAAATTTCTTTAAATTGCTATCTTCACACTTTTTCATTATGCATTCAGAGGACAAATAAGAAAAATGATTGTAGAAATTACTTGACTGTCAATGAAATGCCTTGCATGTGTTCGTACTATGTATAAATACATATAACAAATTGCTGTTGAGGCTATGCTTTGCACACTTACTTATTACACCATTAATTTTCCCATGGAAATTGTTTTTTCACGCTTTGATTTTAGTGCGCTCATGTCACCAAAGTCGTAATTTGATTAGTCGCGCTTATTTTAATGGCTGTATGTTGTCGTTTTAATTACAAATTAATTTAATTGGTTTTCGCTGAAAGTTTTTACGCTTATTATGGCTAAAAATTATATCACACATGAGTCTATTTTCGCCCCCAATGTGAATTAATCTCTACTAGGTGTGTGTGAAAGCAAGCCGAGCTATTCCTGTTTGCTGCGCGTTGTTGTTAGTAAAGTACTGGTTCCTAAGTGATTAAGTATACTTAGTTTCGTTGGTATGAGTATGGTCAAAATCGCTATATCTATTGGATATTTTTCAAAATGAATTATATTATAATAAGAGCTGCTGAAGTGCTTTATCCGATCTAAAACAATACCCGTTCGTTGTGATCCCAAAATTAGCTAAAACAACAGTAAGTCAAAGTGATGATGGAGCTCCTTTTTTCTTTTGCACTCCTTTAGAATATCGACACCTGAGTGGAAGATCGACCTATATCGGCAGCCAGTTCGACAACGCCCTATCTCAGAAAATTTTTCAGAAACGCCCTATTTCAGAATTTTATTGAAAAACGCCCTGCCAGAGAAAACTTTTCAAGAACACCCTATTTCGGCAATATATTCTTCAGACTTCAGATTCCGAGCTTGAAAACTGAGTTTCCTTTTTTTCAGTGTCGAAAATCAAAAGTTTCTGAGATATGCCCAAATATACATGTATGTATAGTGCTTATCATAACTCTAAGCGACTCTCACATATTAACAAATTTTAACTATTTGAAACTTAATTATCTTTTACAAAAATATAGTTTAAAAAAGTTTGAAAATTGTAACTCGATTTCCCAGAAAGATTTAGAGTATATAATTTGATATAATACAATGCACCTTTTAAGTAGCTAGGACTCATCTTTGATTTTTGGTATTTATTTTTTTGTTGACAATGTCAGCCAAATTTTCATATGAAGTCCGTTCGTTGATTTTTTGTTTTTTGAGAAGATGAGCGTTTGCATTTAACATTAAAAATTTCCGAAAACTGCAAAACTGCGTGCTCAAGATATTTCTAAAAAAAATCTATTTAGAAAGCTAGAAATTTTTAGGAAAGTTTGTTGTTGTTTTTTGTTTTTAATACAGCACAAAGATTGGAATTTGAATTTATACGGTTTTTTGTTAAAGAGAGTATTTTTATTACAAAAAATTGCATTTAAAAAATAATTAAATAACTAGTCAAAACTTGTCAATATGTGAGTGTCGTATAGATATGATAAACACTATACTTCAACATGAAAACCCAATCTCTCACAAGAAAACCTAGCCCAATCAGGGCACTCAAACTCGATTGGCCACTTTCTCTCCACGATATACCGAGAAAGTCATTAAGTTTCATGCCCGCTATCTCAACAAGGCTAGCAAAGAAACATGACCCGAAGGGGTTGAAATGCATCGACAAAAAATGTGGGAACTGATTCTTCCTCGTCTTCTTAACGGCAGTTCCTGCAGCTAACTAAAGTCTGTTGATCGTTGAAACTTTGTAGTAGGGCAAGCGTTCGCTAAACTAATACAATGACCGCGAAACCATTAAAAGGCAGTAGACAAGATAAGTGGAAAGATTTTGGTGGAACTACCTTCTTTTTGTATCATGCAAATTATAAAAATTTTTTATTTATCAAGTGCACAGAATCGGGCTGTAAAATGCTTCATGTTCCTTTTTAGCGGTATGCTTTTTATTAAAAATAATTTTCAGTTTAACATTTTGTTGGTGTTGCGTTTTTGTTAATATTTTCTTTTTCTTTTCATACATATGTATGTATGTATGTACTTAAGGGCGTTTAAGGTTTCTCAATTTATTATTTTGATGCCGCTCTATGCATTTTTAGTATTTGCCCTATATCAAATCAAAAAAAATCCAGGATTTTTGGACTTTTGCTTTTATCTTATTATTTCTCTGAAACAAATAACAATGACCAATGTGTATTTTTATAGTAAATTGAACGCTCTACAAAGAAAGGACACTATACTGTACATAAGGGTCATTCCATGCAATATTTACACCTCAAAAATTTTTTTTTGGATGAAATATTTTTTTTTATATTCTTTATTGAAAAAAGAAGACATACATTTTTTTATTTCGCCATGATATTCGAAAGTCTCGAAAAAAAAATTTCCGAAATTTTGAACTCTCGGAGAAGTATCTTTTTTCAATTGTTTGCAGTTACGTAATTACCTCGGCTTTCCATGAGAGTGTGAGATAGATTAAAATAAAAAACAATTTCTATTAAAAATTGCTCATTTTTATTTCTTATTTTTTGTTAACTTCGCCGTGTTCGATTTTTACTTTTTTCAACCTGAATAGTTGACCTATATGACGTATGCTGTAAAAACTTGAGGATGGAAACACCAAAACTGTAAAAGCCGAGGTGTAAATATTGTATGGATAAAGGACGCCTTTTGTCCAGAGGCAAATTTTTAAACGTAGAATATGAAAAATAAAAATGTCTCTTATAAAATATAATGAAAACCTTGGCCAGTTTGTTTCGCACCTACTTAAGGGTTTCTATTTAATCGGTAATCTTTGTACAATCTATAAGCACAGAGAAAGTTGTGCCCAGGATCGTGTTGCACGCTGAGTTTCCACTTCCACTGAAAGATAACAATAAACCACCTGCTGCAAAGTGGTTTAAAACTGGCATTTAGTGTTCGTAATTCACTGGAGCCTTCATTTTTTCACTTAATTTGGTTATTTTGCCTGAGCCTGATTTGTGAATTTTTATTTAATTATATTAAATTTTTTATTGCAAAATGCAGAAAAAGTTGCAATTTTGAAGAAAATGTGTTCTCCTGTTCCAGTGAATAAAGGTTACATAGCAAACACTAGTTGAAAACAATTGTATGGTTTTCCCAAAACGAAAAAATTACACAAAAATTTGAAATGTTATAAAAAAATTTCACCAAAATAAATATTTTATTTTTAGTTTTTAGTAAAATTGGTTGAAAAATGAAAGCTGCGGTGATTTATGAACATTCAATTCCAATTTTGAACCACGGTGTGTCGGCTTACTTTTTCGATACAGCAGGGGAACTTGTACAATTAAATAATGTAATTAACTGGTGAATATTTGATTTAAATTACGATATGGGTAAGGTACTTTTCTCATACAAGTTGTATGTGCGTATTCCCAAATCATTTTGAAAAAGTCCTTTATTTTACGTTGGTTAATATGGTCACCGTGGGAATGACTCATAAATACTTATTTATAAATTGAACTCATTAAACAATGTTGAATTAAACATGGAAGTTCTAGCTTGGGAATTAATACTCATCTACCTTAAGGCTTTCAAAATATAGACACATACCTATAAGTTAGGCTTCTTGAAAAGATGCCCACATCTTTCACTGAGGCTGATTTGGGTGGATAAAATTACCCTCTTGCTATTTGGATATTAGCAATTTAGTATGTGTATTGTGAAAAGTAGGAATTTGTAAACCGAAAAACTATTAAAGAACATTAAATATTTCTTGATAATTCATACCTACATATGTATGTATGTACGTGCATACTATTAACCTTAACACACAAATTTACTTGCCAATTTCAGGTCTTTCCTGCCGTTATGGCAAAAATCCATGGACTGAATGTGACCAAAAAACCAACACACGCTCACGAACGTTGACATTGAAGAAGGGCGATCCGGCATGCGATCAAACGCGAACCATACAGAAGAAGTGCAAAAAAGGTAAGTGAAAAGGACATTACAAATTCAAAGCTTAAAAATTAGAGCGTCTATGAAAAATTTGTTGAAATATTAAAATTTGTGAGATTTCCATATTAAAATTTGTGAGATTAAAGTCATTTGCGCCCAAATGTATGCTATAATTTTTGGCAAATGGCCGTTTTCACTTTGCACTGCGTTTGAGCAAATGCGATCAGTAGCTCACAATCACAGCGCGCGCAGACTTTTCTTGCAGCTGCATAATTGCCGGCATTACTGCCCCTGCTGTTATTGTTTGTGAGCGCCGCCGTGACGCCATCACCATTAACTGCTCGCCAATCTGCACAGCCATCACCACCGACGCCATGACCATCATCATTATTGCGCCTCGCTGGCACGTAATTACTTTTTATTATTTTTCCGTCCACAGCGGGTGGACATTGCAGGCTAGCGCTGTTGATTGGGACATAGACCATGCAAGGCGCACACGCAACCACATAAAAGCAAATGGATATAGCGAAATGAGAAGAAAGCGAACAGCTATCAAAAACTGGTGGCGCGGAAATTGAGGAGGTCAAAATGTCCATTACAAATGGCAGCGAAGCAACGGCACTGCGGTGGATCGCATTTGCGGTAAATGGCAAATTTTGCGGATGTTAACAGTTAATACGGATTACGTAGAACCTATAAAGCGAAAGAAGCAAGCAATTTTGTTGAATGCAAAAGTAAAGTTATTTGGACTTATAACAATAGCGGTAGCTGATTGCATCAAATAATAAATAATCTTTAAAAAAGTATTCTATTTTTTGGTGGTTTTGAAGATAACTACTACTGTATCGTGACTTGAATTTCGTAGGGCTTATTTTCCCCAAAAGTGCAACTAGAAATTTGTGCTTTTCGGGGGAAAACTTCAGTTTTGATGACTCCTCGAATTTGGTAATCGTTTCTACGATATGATAACTCCATACCACAATACAAAAGTGAGAAGTTAACTGAGTGCGTGTAGTCCCTACGCGCGGAAGAAGTGAAACTTAATCGAAAAAATTCCAGAATGGAAGAAGTTAGAAGAAAATTTTCTAACATATATGTACATATTCAGTTTTCTTCTTTATTTTAACCAGCTTTATTTTTATTTTTTATAATAATCTGCCTAGTTTAATTATAATTTGCGGCTCAGGGACCGAAAATAACCACTATTCATTTTTTCGATGTCTGGCAGTCCGGGGCAAAGCCCGTTTCTTTAGCTTTAAAACGAACTTAAGATAAACTCTCTATGATGAGCCGAACCCGAGATACATATCGCACACCGTCTTCAAAAGAGTCACAACTCAAAATAATACGTTTGTCAGAAAATGCGAAAAACTATTTCTTAGCACATGTTATTCATAGGGACAACGGCCACTTTACCTTAGGTTTTTGTAACAAATTATAGCAAAAATTTGCTCCAACTTTTTCTGAAAGGTAAATAAAAGCTCCGAGTACATTTTTAGCGCATAATCTCAAAAATGCCAAATTTTGAGTTGTGACTGTTTTGAGGATGGTGTGCGACATAACGATTTGAAGAAGTACATGATTAGTCAGATTCACGAAAAAATTCAAACTTTGACAGATCATATCTCCGAAGAAAAAAAATAAAATATACATTTCTTGAACACGTGTTAGCTTATTTCATATATAGAACCCATAAAAAAAAATGTGAAGCCAATCGAAAGTGTGACACCGAATTTGGTGTCCGATATGAGAAAGAATATCTCATATACATCACTTTTTCATAGGCCTGATAGTTTCTGAAAACTTATTTAATAATTCAAGATTTTTTATTTCTTTCATGAAAAAATTAAAAAAAAAATAAAATCAAACTTTAGCATGAAAAGAATTTTAAAAATTCAGTGTAATTTTTTTAATTTGTGTTAAAGCCTGTTTTGTTATAAAAAATCGAGCTACTAACGAAGAAAATCCATGGATAAAAAAAGAAGGAATGAGTGGTCAAATGAAAATGGGCAACAATTTTTTGTACGCGAAATGATCCGGAAATCATGTCACTCATACTCCATGTATACCATACAAATTATAAAAATTGACAAATAAATCCTAATTTTTTCTTTCTTTCTTAAAGTTTCAATTTCTTTCATTTTTCCCTCAAAAAAAAAATCTGAAAAGATCAAATAATTTCTCAGAAATTATAAAGCCTATCGCAAAGTGGTGTAAATACGATTTATAGAGAATTTTATTAGCTTTCATTTGGCTTATTCCAAATTAAAATTTTTAAATTAGTTCGTAAGATTACTCTGAATAACGGCAAATTGTAAATATCTCGAAAACCTATCCATAGAAAAAAATTTATTTTCGGACTCACCGAGCGATTCTACATAGGAATTGGATAGTGGCATACGGTGATAAAAAAAAAACCAATTGTGATCCAGTGCAATCAGCCTCTATTTTAACCCCAACAAACCTATCGAAACGCAGGTGCCCTCTCAATGGTGACTTTTACCATAAGTCCAAAATCTAAGATAACCTTACGCCAAGCTTGAGTCATAGCAGAAACTATATATAACCTAGTGGCGAAAGGTTTTTTTTTAAGCCTTTGATGAGAAATCTGCTTCAATTAAATTCATGAAGAATTGCTCTACTACTCAAAGGCATGTCACTAACAATCAGGTTATTCTTTAGACAAACTGGTGAACAAACCAAGGCAGACATAGCCCAAATAAGTCTGAAAATGATAGCGAAGGACGATACGCATCGTCTAAAGAGAAGGTTGAGCATGCTTTACAGCAGATTTTTAAAACCAGTGGATGAGCAGTTAGAGAGAACTGCCAGTCGATAGAACCCAGATTCGATCACTCGTTCGCACAACATATAAAATAAATCCCTAATAGCGATCGAGCCTCGGCAGGTAATGGCAAATCCCCGAGTGTACTGTTTTCATGAAAAGTTATGGATATGCCCTTCGGTGTCGGTCTTCTCGCACACCACAAATTAAGGAGAAGCTCGGTCAAATATTTAAAAATCTGCACAGATGCAAAGGTGTCAATCGTACGGACGTAAAGCCAGGTGCCTAACCAACTGATTAAGTGCTTCTGAGAGACGAGGTGATTCAGCCAGGAGGGTAGGGAATATAAAAACTCCAATAAAATCTAAATTAATCAGTTAAGACTTAAGTACTTCCGTTCGCTATATCTAATTCTATGATCATATAGCATGTTTTCTCATAATGCACTTCCGCTATTAACCCACTTCGTTTTTTTTACTTTTACAACTACGTAAATGTCCTGCAACATGCCACAAAATGACATGGAATACACTCGTGACACATTAGCTGAAAAGTTACTCCATTTACACGACAATGCAGTCACACAGGCATTGGCGCATTTATGTATGACGATACAATAGGATATTATGGCATATTTACAACGAAACGTTCGCTTCCTAGCACTTCGCTTAAAGGCTATATGTATAACCACCCAAGGCAACATAATGCAGCAAATTACTGCACCTACATACATACTTCCTCCCACTAAAGTGAACATTTGTGGTAGACTTTTTCTTATACATAAATAGTTGAATTGCAATTTTCTTCACTTTCTTATTGTTTGTGCTGTTTGTTTTTGTTTTTAGCAGCCGGCAAATTTTTCGCTGACATGCGAAAATCCGTTTTACTGTCACATAAGTATACACACATAAATAAATAAGTTAGTAAGTACTATCATTGTGCTGGCAACTGCCAATTTCATTGCTGCCACACACATTTAGTACGCCGTGTTGCACATTTTCACATGTCATTGCCTGCATGCCTCAAATACTCGCTTCTATGCTTGCATCCGCATTCATTATTTCTTACTTTGCCATTATTGGCTTCACTGATTGTGCAGCACATCCTACTGCGATTACACACTAACATACATACACTTCTGCAGTCACTGCGCTTGTGAGCTTTTAAAGTTGTTACCGTTGTTATTGATTTTGTTGATAATGCTGCTTTTCTGCTTTTTTCTCATTTTCTTCAGTTTTTTTTATGTTTTTTTTTTCATTATATCCCTGAGCATTGTGCAGCTCACGCGAATTCTCGCATTCAATCGTACTTTTCGTGTTTCCTGTCAGGTTTCGTGTTTTTCCTCGCTGTCACTTTTTCATTTCCTCTCTTAGTTGTTATATTCTTTTGCGAATTTCTTTTGTGCCTTGAAGTGCAGTGCTAACGAACTTTTACGCTTTGTTAGTTTGCTGGCATACTTTATGGCGCATTGGTAGCGTTTTTTGTCAGCTGACGTCGGAAAAAACATTTGGAATAGTAAATGCTGAATTTTAGTAGTTAAACAAATTGCTTACCTATATTACGTTCAATGTGTTCTTTAGGTAAGTAATGTGAAAGAGAGGAAACTACTTTAAAAGATTTATATTTTTTTTTACTAGTTGCAGTAATTTATGATAACTATATAAATAAAATAGCACATTTGTCAAAAATGCAGCAATACATATCTGGCCTAAGTTCTATACGCGTAGATCTCATCCTCTCCTCCGATTGGAGCGACCACTGCTCATACATGTTAATTGCAGTTCTCACCGGGCACTGCCTGCTGGGAACCCACACTGCCAGAAATGAGCTTGTAGTCAACCGAATACTGTCGAAGCTGCCGTAATAAGGAGGAAATCGAAAGCGTGAAGCATTACCTATTCCACTGGCCCGCTTTTCCGAGTGGTCGTCGACGCCCAGTCCGCCATTATTCTTTTGAATGTCTGACTGAACTGGATTCAGCCAGTATCTGCAACTTTGTGCGCTTCATCACAGCTACAAATTGGTTTCATTTCTAAGGTAAGAGAAGGGATATAAGGAGTCTCTAATATGGCATCACAATGGGTCCATGACGGCTTAAGTGTGCCTTTTTCCTGTGCGGAATGAGGGCTGCCAAGATAACCTGACCTAACCTCAACCTATTTGTTAATAAATACTAGATTTAAAAATTTTTTAAAGTCAGCTTAAATTTTTTAGAGATTTGATCATGAATAAACAAAGCTAACATATG